ATTACCCAAATGACAAGAGATTGCAGAGCTCTGACAGGCTGAGGGACCTGACAGTCCTCATGTATAAATCACAAAAAACATGCAGGCAGAACAAATAATTAGGAAACCTAATAGCAAGTTATCATCTATTGCGGCTGAATACAAAAGTAAGGAGGTTATGCTGGACTTGGGACAGGGCACTTGAGAGGCCATGTCTGGAATACTGTATATAGCATTGATTTCCTTATCTAAGAATGTATATGCACTGGACGTAGTTCAGAAAAGGTTTACCATACCAATACCTGGAAAAAGTGAGTTGTCTAATGATGAAAGGTTGGACGGACTAAGGTTGCATATGCTGGAGTTTAAAAGTGTAAGAGGTAACTCGACTGAATCATATAAAATCCGAGAGGTCTTAACAGGGTAGATATAAAGAGGATGTTTCATCTTATGAAAGATTGTAGAACCAGGGACCACTGTTTATAAATAAGAGATCACCCATTTAAACCAGGAATGAGGCAAAACTTTTTTGGAACACCCTTTCTGAAAATACGATGGAAGCAGAGTCTCTAAATATTTTTAAGGCAGAAGTGGATAGATTCCTGGTAAGCAAACGGATGAACGTTTATTGGGGGAGGGGGGTGAGAATATGGATTTAAGGTTACAGTCAGATTAGCTATGATCTTATTTAAGGCTACAGCAGATTCAAGAGGACAACTGGCTTCCTCCTGTTTCCTGTCCATATATTTGTGCATATGACCTGCTCTCAGTTAGCAATATTCCACATTCCATAACAGGAATTATTTCACAATATCAGAATTTGACAGCCTTTTCACAGATTCACTATACTTGCTGAATATCCAGCTCAAAACATCTCTTCAACTAAGCAAAGAATAGACAGTCCCAAAGATACACCTTCTTTCTGGTGCCTTGTTTCCTTCCATGTTAGTTAATATCTGTGAAAGGCCACAGGCTAAATGTTGGCCATCTATTGACGGGACAGAACTATAGACACAGAGGCTGTCTTTCATGTCATCCACATACAGCAGAATGAGAAAGAATGAGCCAACAATTTGAAATCATTCAGATTGTCCAATGAAAGAATTGAAAGTTATTCACTGTAGTGTTTACTTCATATTACACAGACAATAAAATGAAAGGCTAGAAAGTTTATATCTTTGTATTTTGCGAATCTATGGCATTAAGAGATTAGCACTATTGAGCTATATCAGGTTCAGGTACAAGCTAGGGCTTGTTTGTTAATAGGTATAACATCAAAGGCAGAATAGATATAGACTTGCATGACCAAGGCTTATTTCACAAAGTCTATGCTTTAAGTGAACAAACTTTGTCGCGTGAAATACAAACTTATGTACTCAAAATTCTTTAAGTAGACCAAATCCATTTACAATAGAGGACAATAATTCACTAGGAACTATATCATCATTCCTTCACTGTTGCTGGCTTAATAATACTGTGAACAGTTTTGGGAGCCTGATCTAAGGAAAGATTACTGGCATTGGAGGCAATCTAAAGAAGGTTCAAAACAAACACAGAGAATGTTCGAGAAACTCAGCAGGTCTGACAGCATCTATGGAGAGAGAGAGAGACAAACACAGAGAGTGAGAGAGAGTGAGAGAGCGAGAGAGCCTGGTATGACTTTTTCAGAATACCAGAAAAATTCATTATGCTGATAGCAGGTATGGAGGAAGTGTGCCATAAGGAGAGGTTAAGTAGGTTGGGCCTTTACACATTGGAATGTCGAAGAATGAGAAAAGACTTCATTGAAACAGAACAAAGTTCTTCAGGAACTTGACAGGGTAGATGCAGGAGCATTGCATACCCTTGTGGAACAGTCCAAGACCAGAGGGCATAATCACGGAATAAAGGGTCGCCCATTTAAGACAGAGATAAGGAGGAATTTCTTCCCTCAGAGGGTAGTGGATCTAAAGAATCCTTTACTGCAGAGAGCTATTCAGGCTGGGTTGTTAAGAATATTCAAGGTCACTTTAGAACACTCGCTGATTTTTTGTTATTTTTGCTTTATTCTTTTATAAATTTTAGTTTGGAGTTGTGAACTAAAGATGAGTTTTGAACTGTGGGTAACAGTTTTTGTTATAAGGAAAAAAGACCAACAAGCTTTTGTTTGCTCATGAGGCAAGGCCTGGATGTACGGCACACTGGTGATCGTAGGCCTCCAGTTGAAAAGCAACCTTCCACCACAACCCTCTGCCATCTACCTTCGAGCCAGTTCTACCTCCAAATGGCTAGCTCTTCCTGTATTCCATGTGATCTAACCTTGGTAATCTATCATGCAGAACCCTGTTGAACGCCTTATGAAAGTCTTAGCACAAATTTGTAGCTCGGGTTGTGGATGCAGTTGTTCATTAGCTCACTGAGCCGGTTGTTGCATGGTGTGCAGATGTTTCGTTACCAATCTAGGCAAAATCATTACTTTGACCTTTAAACGAAGTGTTGGTGTTCTGCTCCATTCCGAATTCATATGATCCTTTGGTGTGGTGGGTGTTGTCATTTCCGGTTCTGTTTTTTTGGCAGTTGTCTGTACATGGCGTCTATTCCTGTGTGTTTGTTAATGAGGTCTTGTGTTGAGAACCAGGCTTCCAAAAATTCCCTTGCATGTCTGTTGTTTGCTTGTCCCAGTCTGTGGCCCTCATTGTCTGTGTATATCGAGACAAGTGAATATTTGTTGTGTCTTTTTACTGCCAGCCGGTGTTCATGTATCCTGGTTGTCAGTTTCTTCCCCGTTTGTCCAATGTAATGTTTATTGCACTAGCTGCATGGGATTCTGTATATCACGTTAGTCCTGTTTACTGTTGGTATGGGGTCTTTAGTCTTTGACAACATTCAATGTAGTGGTGATGTACGTTTATGTGCAATCACGATCTTACACGGTCTTAGGTAACTGGTTATCATTTCTGTTATATTTTTGATGCAGGGTAGTGTTGCTAGTGTCTTCTTTTGTACCATGTCCTCTGACTGTCTGTCCACCAACTAACTCATCACTGATGTCAGGCACACTAGTCTATTGTCCCGTGGCATTTCTTTACCACCTTTCTTAAATAGTGGCACCATGATGGCCAACCTGCAGTCTTCTAGCACCTCACCTATGGCTATTGAGGATACAATTATCTCAGCAAGGGGTCCAGCAATCACTTCCCTAGCTTCCCACAAAGTTCTAGGGTACACCGGATCAAGTCTCAACCAAGAAACTAAGCCTGAGGAACAACATATCATGAAAACAACTTACTTAAGTAATCTGCCAGTTTTGTCTTTTTTTTATTTATCCCTTAACTGTGTGAGTTTGTCTGTCTTTTGTGAGAATGGGGGAGCTGTAAAAGAACAATGCTTTTTGGGCAGAGAACGTAGACCAATTAGATTACTTTGTTTAATTTTTGCTCTGTTAAAGTCATTACATTGTTAATAAACTGCTAAGTATTTTGTTTAAGACACAAACCAGTGTCAAGAATTGATTATTCACAAAGCCGTAGATTGGTTATTCAGGAAGACTGGTTTGGAATGTGTGGGGTCAATTTTGACGGTATTTGAAGGTTTTAATTTTCCCAATACAGAGGCAGAAAGGCTGATTTGGTTCGGCTGTCCGTCTCCGCTCGTAAAAATCAAGACACAGAGATTTTTAACCAGTAAAGGAATTGAGGATTACAGACACAAGACAGGAAAGTGGAGTTGAGGATTATCAGTTCAGCCATGATCTCATTGATGGTGGAGCATTAATGATGGCTTGAATGGCCTATTCATGCTCCTCCATCTTATGATCCTATCCTGGAACTCCTTTCTATCAGCACTGTGGATGCACAGACTTAACATGGATGTAACATTTCTAGAAGGCAGTTCACCAGCATTTTCTCAAGGCTGATTAGTGACAAGCAACAAATTCCAGCCAGTGATGTCCTGATCCTACAAAATATTAAAAAGAATTACTTGAATTACAACACAGAATCCCTACAACAATGCTGTAAAGCAATTCATTCACTGTGTTTCTTTTTAATTTAAAAGCCCACAGTCTTTTTATTTTACTCTTTCACAGGATATTAACACTACAAATGTCAGCATTTGTTGACCATCTTAAATGCCTTGAACTAGGTGGCTTGCTCAGCCATTTCAGTGGGCAGGTCAGCTGCATTGTTACGGGTCTCTAATCACACGTAGGACCAACTAGGTAAGGATGGCAGCTTTCCTTCTTAGAGGTCAATGGGTTTTTACAATAATCGATAATAGCTGTCATGATCACCATAACCGAAACTAACATTTTCTTATCTATTCCAGATTTATAAGTTGAATTTTAGTTCCACCAGCTGCAATTGGCATCTACGCATGTACAGCATGAGATCAGGTTTCAAACACATTACCACAAGACCACTATCTTTATGAGAAGCCAAGTTAATCACTACATTAGGCACTAATATTTTTCTTTAGGGTTTAGGATCAAATCTAGTAGTAGTAAGAAAGAAATTCATCAGATATACTTCCTACACAGCCAGAACGCAGTATCTGAACTTAAAGTAATTGACTTGGAGACTGGAGGTTTGAAAGCTGCCCATCCTGAACTACCATCAACTAAATGCTCGCAAAATCTAACATCTTTCCCAGTTGAAGAATCATTTATGCTCCTTTCTCAAGGAGCCACGAAGCAAAGAACTTCCATGACAATGAAAATCAGTGACCTATTAGATGAAAACCAGTTTCTGAAATTTTATACAGCAGATGGTCCTGATATGTTTGCTTAAAAATTTATGCTAAAAATCTACAGAATGCTAAAAACGTCCTGTTATACATAAAAGACAGCTTGGCACCAACTGTGCAGGATGGGTGAATTTAATTTTCAGGTACAAACAGAATCATTTGAGTAACAGTACCAATGCTCAATTAAGCGAATAATAGTCTTCCAATTTTCTAACTGCACAATATTCCCAAAATAATTGTGTCAACATGATCAATGTTTAAAGAAGGAATATCACCACAGTTGTCAGAAAAATGCTTACCAGCAGGTAGACCATGCCCAGCCTGTGGTTCCATTGGTGCTGGAGGGACTGAGTGGGCCACAATATCTTTCTTGGCTTCTTTTACCATGCCATCACTATCTTCTTCATAACCAATAACGGCTAATCCAAGTCCAGAATGCTGTGAAGATTTTGATTGTTGAGAGACTTTGTTCACTGGATTAATAAAATCAGGTGGTAACCTGGGAGAAACAGTGAGTGATAAAATCATCACAACATAAAAGGGAGCCATCCAGACTGTTGAGTCCATGTTATTATGTAGACCCATTCCCTGGTTCTTTCCTTGTAGCACTGCAAATTTTCCCCTCCAGCTAACACATTCAAGGCAGAAATTATTGAATTCCCTTTCAGAAATCAAAAATGAATCTACCTCTATACTTTTCTAGGCAGTGTCTGAACCCACTGACTCTTTACAACATTTTTTCTCAAGTTTCTTTTTGCCAGTCCCTTTAAAGATAGATTCAAGAAAAAAATCATTGAATTACCTGTCATTTCCCATGATCTTATTTCATTATAATCCAAAATGTTAGAGGTACTTTACAGTAAAAAGACTCCTGCAAACAATCTTAAACAAAAAACTGGCCTTCAATCACCACCTGCAACTTATTACAGAAATTATAGAGTCATAGAGAGGTACAGCACGGAAACAGACCCTTCGGTTCAACTTGTTCATGCCGACCAGTTATCCCAAATTAATCTAGTCCCATTTGCCATAAATTGGCCCCTATCCCTCTAAATGCTTCCTAATCATATAACCATCCAGATGCCTTTTAAATGTTGTAATTGTACTGGTGTCCACCACTTCCTCTGGTAGCTCATTCCATACACACACCATCCTCTGCATGAAAAAGTTGTCCCTTAGGTCCCTTTTATATGTTTACCCTCTCATCTTAAAACTATGCCCTCTAGTTTTGGACTCCCCTACCCTGGGGCAAAAAGGGTGGTTATTCACCCTATCCATGCCCGTCATAATTTTACAAACCTCTACAAGGTCAGCCCTTACTCTCCAACACTCCAGGGAAAATAGCCCAGGCTTATTCAGCTCTTCCTAGAGCTCAAACCTTCCAACCCCTGCAACATTCTTGTAAGTCTTTTCTGAACCCTTTCAAGTTTAACAACATCTTTCCTACAGCAGTGAGACCAGAATTGAATGCAGTATTTCAAAAGCGGCCTGACCAGTGTCCTGTACAACCGCAACATGACTCCCAACTCCTACACTCGATACACTGACCAATAAAGGCAAGTGTACCAAATGCCTTCTTCAGTACTCAGTCTACTTGTGACCGCCGTCAAGTTTGGTAATAACAGTTTTTTCTTTCCTTTATTTGTTCACGGGATGAGGGCATTGCTGGGTAGCATTTATTGTCCATCCCTAATTGCCCAGAGGGCAGTTAAGAGGCAACCACATTACTGTGGGTCTGGAGTCATACGTTGGCCAGACCAGGTAAGGATGGCAGTTTCCTTCCCTATAGGACATTAGTGAACCAGGTGGGTTTTTCCTGACAATCGGCAATAGATTTATGGTCATCATCAGACTCTTAGTTCCAGATATTTATTGAATTCAACTTCCACCATCTGCCATAGTGGAATTTGAACATCATCTGGGTCTCTGCATTAACAGTTCAGTGATAATACCACGAGGCTATCACCTGCTCTGATTTGCCTAACCAAAATGCAACACTTCACCTTTATCTAAATTAAACTCCACCTGCCACTCAAGTTATTTACCTTCCTTAAAAATAATAACTGCACTGAAAATATTATTTTAAACCATATGACTCAAACAAAATTTTAAACTTCAAGTTTTGCTAATCAAATGCTTTGAACAATTAAGTTCAGTTTTAGAAGTCAATGGGGGAATGGGATATGGCTTATTGGAGGTTATATTGTTTACATTTTTATAGCTAGGGAACATCTTCAAAAATCGTACAGAAAATTTTCTAGAAATGCTGAAAATTTAATGAATACTATCAGAGTCAAATAAATTTACCCTATCCATGCAGTTCTGATGAAGGGTCACCAGACCCGAAACGTTAACTCTGTTTTATCCTTCACAGATGCTGCCAGACCTGCTGAGCTTTTCCAGCAACTTTGTTTTTGTTCCTGAAATAAATTTACCTGTTCTTTTTAGATTGCCAATTCTACTCCAACACTGATCTTGTGGATTGATTTTAATATGACATTGCCTGTTTTAGCCCACAATTTAGAAGTTACAAACTTGAGAAAACAGCCTTCCCTATAGACTTTGCTAGTGTAGGTGTACAAATACTTTTATAGTTTCCTGATGATAGTGAGCTGCTAGGCCACAAAGTGTGAAAGTCCTAGTTTCAGACCCTGGTCCACGTTGAGGAGCAGATTTCAAATTGTTCAGGTTGATACACCTGACTGCCAGCCAATAATCCATCCACTCCATTTTTCTCTAGCTCCAGGTTACACTATCCTTCTAAGCTTATCATAATTCCCAAACTCAACTTTCCTGCACATTGTTTCCGATTTGCTCCCTCCCAGGTGTCTTCACTCCCAAGCTAGCCATTAACTCCCTATTTGTTCCTTCCACGAAATCGAGAACAGGGTTTTAGCCCTATGTAAATTTACAACAAAACATCAGAAAGACAGATTCCCAAGAAAGGGCCAAGTTTCTTTTGCAAGTGACAAGCGAGTAACAGGCATGGAATCAATCCACAAGATGAAGCGTAAGAAATTTATGGAGGTGGTCATATCTCAGGACAAGAACATATAGGGAGAAAAGGAATCGGTGACTACTAGAATGTTTTGGAGTACCAGACAGATAATGCAGGTGTCCCCAGAATCTACCTTGCTAATGAACTGTTTCCATTTTGCATATTGGTGATGGTGATGGTTCATCAGAGGAATGCGTGAAGAATCACTCCTGGTGTTTGGGGGTTGAGAATGAAAGGGTAAAAGTGGCAGGTAATTCAATTGATAAGGAACAGACAGGGCATTTCTACCGATGTAAGTATCATTTTATGATTTTATGCGTCACAGTCAAGGATATCGAGTCAACGACATTGTTCTGGGGAGAAACCATGATCTACAATGGTAAAAAGGGAGATGAACTCCTGAAAGCAGCTTTTAGGGAGCTACGAAAGACAATGAAAAGGATAGGTTCTAAGGCAGTCATCTCAAGATTACTCCTAGTACTACGTGCCAGTGTGTATAGAAATAACAAAATAGGCAACTAAACTTGTGGTTGGAAAAATAGTGTAGGAAGGAGGGCTTTAGATTTCCGGGACATTGGGACCAGTTCTGGGGCAGGAAGGACCTATATAAGAAGGAAGGATTACATTTTAGTAGGACTGGGACTAATTTGCCCACAGGGAGATTTGCTGGTTCTTTTAGGGTTTGAGTGGTGGGTTGCTTTAAACTAGCTTGTGAGGGGGCTGGGAGCATGACTTAATGAGAATTCAGACAGGAGAAAAACAAAGGTAACACAGTGTGGAGCTGAAGGAACTCAGCAGGCCAGGCAGCATCAGAGGAGCAGGAAAGCTGATGTTTCGGGTCAGGACCATTCTTCAGAAATGGGGGAGGGGCTAGGGGGCTCTGAAATAAATAGAAAGAGGAGGGGTGGGGCTGGGGAAAGTAGGTGGTATGGTGATAGGTGATTGCAGGTAGGCAGTGGTGGGAATTGGTCAGTGAGGTGGGAGGAGCGGATAGGTGGGAGAGAAGACAGACAGGTCAAGGAGGCAGGGACGAGAGGGAGGGTTGGTCATGGGATGAGACCGGGGGTGGGGAGATTTTGAAGCTAGTAAAGTCCACATTGAGACCATTGGGTTGTAGGCTCCCGAGGCTGCTCCTCCAGTTTCTGGGTGACGTCACTGTGGCACTAGAAGAGGCCCAGGATGGACATGTCGTCCAGGGAGTGGTAGGGGGAAGTTGAAGTGGTTCGCGACTGGAAGGTGTTGTTGTTTGTCGTGAACTAAGCGCAGGTGCTATACAAAGCAGTCTCCGAGCCTCTGCTTGGTCTCACTGATGTGGAGAAGGCCACATCTGAAGCAGCGGATGCAACAGGCCACATTAACGGATCACCTCACGTATCACACCACTAACCTCCGGATTCAACGCATCACTCTCCACCACTTCTGCCACCTGCAATCTGACCCCACAACCAAGGATATATTTCCCTCCCCACCCCTATCTGCCTTCCGTAGGGGCCGCTCTCTCCACGACTCCCTCGTTCGCACCACTCCAGGCACCTTTCCCTGCAACCGCAGGAAGTGCTACACGTGCCCCTACACCTCCCACCTCACCTCCATCCAAGGACCCAAAAACGTTCCACATCAGACAGATGTTCACCCGCACATCCGCTAACGTGGTCTATTGCATCCGCTGCTCCCGATGTGGCCTCCTCTACGTCAGTGAGACCAAGCGTCTCTGGGTTTGTCCTGCCAATGGAATAGGATATACCTAGGCATGGCGATAGTATGATCTAGGCATGTGCAAGGTACGATTCCGTAGGGTTTACTCTGAGAGACTTTTGCTTGACACATCAGTGTAATGATATCTCTCCCAGTTTTGGAACTAGCCCCAGATGTTGCTAAGGAAGACTTTGCAGGTTGACAAGACTGGATTTGCCATTGTCATTTTTAGTACCTTAGTCGATGCCAGGTGGTTTCATTCCTGTTTTGAGACTTTTTAGTGGTTTGATACAACTGAATATCTTGTTAAACCATTTCAGAGGGCAGTTAAGTATTAACTACATTGCTTGGGTCTGGAGTCACATGAGGGCCAGACCAGGTAAGGACGGCATTTTCCCAAACCCCAAGGATTATTCACATTTGTGAACCAGATTAGGACTGAAATGAGGAAGAATTTCTTCACTCTGAGGGCAAGGAATCATTAGCATTCTCAGCCCCAAAAGGCTGTGGAGCTCAGTCATTGATTGGGATCAAGACAGTGATTGATGGATTTCTAGATACTAATGTTATCAAAGGATTTGGGAGAGTACAGCTAAGTGATCAGCCATGATCTAGAATGGCAGAGAAAGCTCAAGGAACTGAAATGCCCATTCCTGTCCTATGTTCCTCTGCAAAAGAGAAACTTATACAAAGAGTGCAAGTCAACACAAAACAAAATGTTCTGAATGAAAGAAAGTAAGCCTGGCATTCAGAGAAAGAATACACAGAGGCAAGAAAAGTAAGTTGTCAGAAATATTGTGAAAAACAAGTAGTATTGAATATTTAAAAAAAAAACTGTACAAATGCAACGTCAAAGAAAATCAAAGGGTGTAAGAAGTGATCTTTTGTAATAAAACCACTCACCCAGGACCTGTGGATGTTGTAGACTCGCAGAATGCTGTAAAAGATAAACAAACAGTTACTAACCAAGTAGTGCTTGCTGCAGTCAGAAGAAACATTAATTATGTTGTTAATTTATACCAAAACCATAACAAATTAAACAGTAAATAACATATTGATCAGGTTTTTTTCTCTATTGAACTTCCCAACCTGGATCTTCGTCTGAAATCTTTCATGCTATATATTTCTATGTACGTACAAAAGAGATAAGCTGCGGGTGAAGAGAGATAGACAAGTAAAGATAATGCACATAGAAGAAGATTGTAGCTTGCTTGAATGAATCGAAAGATATGGCAAGATGACATGAAGAAGAATGTATTATTTTGGTATTATATGCATGCTGCTACTATCCCTTTTATTGGAGAAGCACTAACATTTCTAACAAGCCCATTAATACTGCACTTTATCAAGGCTTTTTAGAAATCCCTGCATATCACATCAACCGTATTGTGTTCAATAATGCTGTACCCTCAAATGAAAATTTCAAGCATGTTAGTCAAACACAATTTGGCCTTAACAAATTCATACTTGGCTTTACTTAATTAATAGTCATTGCCCAAGGGACTATAAGTTTTATTCCAAATTGTTATCTCTAAAAGCTTGACCGCAAAAAAAGTTAAAACAACTACCCGGCTGAATTTACCCCTATTTCTTGAACAAGGGTGTAACATATACTATTCTTCTAACCTTCAGGTTAACAGAGAAAAAACAACTGGCTCAATCAGCAAGTTTTATTTTACAAAAGTAAGAAGTTTGACATAAATTGATAAACTGGCTTTTCTTTTATTCTTGGAATATCAAATTGGTTATTACCTTTGACCTTTTTCGTTGTTTGGGATACTGGATCTGTAACTTTCCTTTTCCCTACAGAAACTGTTGATGCATGAACATGTGATGGTACCGTTGTTTGTTTTGCAGTTTTCGGTTTCTCAAGGTTCTGCAAGCAATCAAATGAGTAATGTACTTAGTCTGCATTGTACAACTTTAAGAATGTTCTTTTAATCAAAGGAAACTAGGTAGCATTGGCAAATTAACATAGCAATTCTGCCAGATTCAGGTATCTTCTAGTAAATGCCAGGTACAGTACCTTGTGTTTGAAATTAGGGGTCAACCTTGTAAAGATAGAAAGACCACACGTACGGGTATGGACCAGATACTCAATGACACTAGCAACCACCCTAATGTCCACAAACGGAGCTGCATCAGGACACTACTTAAATGAGCCACAATACATTGCAGCAACCCAGAGCTACGCAAAGCAGAACAGGTGCACCTATACGGAGTCTTCAAAAGGAATGGATACCCAAAAAGCACAATCCGCTGTTACTTCCGAGACAGACCACAACAGGAAGACACAATACGAGCAGACTCACTAATCTCCTGACCGTATTTCAGGGACATATCAGAGATGACCACAAGACTACTCAGACCCATAGGTATCAGGGTAGCCCACAAACCAACAACTACCCTAAGACAGCTACTGATGAACGTAAAGGATCCCATACCCAAAACCAGTAAAACCGGTGTAATATACAAAATACCATGCAAGGACTGTGAGAAACACTACATAGGCCAAACCGGAAGAAATCTGACAATACGGATACACAAATACCAACTAGCCACCAAGAGATATGACTAATTCTCAGTTGTCTCATTACACACGGACAAAAGGGGACAGAAATTCGACTGGGACAACACATCCATAATCACACAAGCCAAACAGAGACACTCCAGTGAATTCCTGGAGGTCTGATCCTCTAATCCAATCAACAAACACATTGAATTAGACCCTGTGCACAAACAACTGAGAAACAGAACTGGAAGTGATACCAAACACCCCAACAAACTGAGGCATATAAATAACAAGCAGGACAGAACACCAACGCTTCACTGGAGGCACACTGACTATGTTACCTAGCAGGGTGACAAAACGTTTGCAACCAAACCCACTGGCTTAGAGAGCATGTCTATAACCTCATAGAACACAGAATCAGAATGCTACTTACAGAACCAAGCAATCCCACAAACTAACTATTGAGGTTATAGCTCAACAGTCCTGCAATATCTAATCACAAATGGTGATGGACAATTAAACAACTAAATAGGAAAAGTAAAGTCCAGTAGCATCAAGCATACAATTGCTCTTCTCCTGAGGTCCTAATCATTCCAAATGTCAGTTTTTAGCCATTTCAAATGGGATCAAGCCATAGTTGAGCACTCTACACAGCAACGAATGCAGCCCCAGCAATATTTTAGCTGTGGATCTGAAGCTCTGTCTCCAGAATTAGTGTGCTCTTAATTTAGAAACTCCAGTACAATTACATTGAGACGTACATTGTGGAAAATGGCACAAGTACTAAACCAAACTCTTCAAATACCATGCATTTCAGGGACACTCAACCTAATAAAAATCACCACACAGACTACATTCTCTCAAGAAGTCAGCTCAATATTACGTTCACAAGCATAACTAGAGATGGGCAAGAAATATTGGTCTTGCTAGTAACACCCACATCTCAAGAATGAATACATAAAAGTACAACTAGTAATAACAGTTATAGCAATTCATTTCATTTTAACTCCTTCATAACTTTATTCCAGGAGTAATTCTTACGAAAATGTAAAAACCAAAAGAACGGTGGAAACAGAAGTTGCTGGCATCAGTAAGGAAAAGTAAGAGTTAACGTTTCAGGTCCAGTAACCCTTCCTCAGAACTGATGGTAGCTATGAAAATGTTGGTATTCGTGCAGAAGATAGGGTGGGGAGAGGGGTTAAGGAATTAACGATAGGTGAGGATAGAGCCCAAAGAAAGAGAACAGTTGGACAGACAAAGGAGTTGATAACGATTTGGCTAGGAGGGTGAGCTGTTAATGGGGGCTGTTAGTGACTAACAAGAGCTCGTGTGTAATAACAGACTGTGAGATAACAAGGCCTGGTGTGTGAGGTAGGAGGCTAGGGCATGGGAGAGTTCAGGCCCTAAAACTATTGAACTCAATACTGAGTCCAGAGGGCTGCAGGGTCCCCAAGTGGAAAATAAGGTGGTGTTCTTCCAAATTGCGCTAAGCTTTGCTGGTACACTGTTGGAAGCCTGAGACAGAGATGTTTGCCAGGGAACAAGATGGTGTGTTGAAGTGGCAGGCAACAGGTAGCTCAGGGTCTTTTTGGCAGACAGAACGTAGATGATCTCCGAAGCAGTCACCCGGTCTACGCTTCGTTTCTCCAGTGTAGAGGAGACCACATTGTGAGCAGTGACTGCTGCTTGGCTTGCTGTGTTCATCCAGCTCTAATTCTTGTTATCCCAGATTCTCCAGCATCTGCAGTTCCTGCTATCTCTGCAGTAGACTAGACTGTCGGAAGTGCGGGTAAAGTGCTGCTTCACCTGGAAGGTATGTTTGGGCCCTTGGATAGTGGGGAGGGATGACATAAATGGGCAGGTGTTACACCTACAGCATTTGCAGGGGAAGGTGACATGTGGCTGTGGGGGAGGCTGTTAGGAGTGAAGGAAGAGTGAACCAGGGTGTCCCAGAGCGAACGGTCCCTGACAAGGGAAGGGAGGGGAATGTATGACTGGTGGTGGCAAACCGCTGGAGGCGGCAGAAATGGCGTCTGATGATCTTCTGTATTTGCATACTGGTGGGACGGTAGTAAGGACAAGGGGCCTCTATTGCTGTTGCAGGAGGGAAGAGAGGGGGTGAGAATGGAAGTGTGGGAGATGGGTTCGTTCCAGTTGAGGGCCCTGTTGACAACGGTGCTGGGAATTCTCAGCTGAGGAAGAAAGTAGACATTTTGGAGGCTCCCTTGTCAAAGTTGGCCTCATCTGAACATACATTACGGAGATGGAGGAACTGGGAGAATGGAATGGAGTCTTTACAAGAAGCAGGGTGTGAGGATGTATAGTCCAGGCAGCTGTGTGGGTCAGTGGGTTTATAGTGGATATTAGTGGTGAGTATATTCCCAGAAATGGAAACGGAGATGTCAAGGAAGGGAATGGAGGAGTCAGAGACAGAACAGATGAAAATGAAGGCAGGGTGGAAATTGGAAGCGAAATCAATGAACTTTTCCAATTCCAGTTGAGAGAGAGAGAAGCAGCACCGATGATTTCTTCAGCATATCGGAAAAAGAGTTGTGGGTGGGGGCCGGAATAGGGCTGGAACAAGGAATGTTCCACATACCCCATGAAAAGACAGGCATAACTGCGGCCCATGCAGGTACCCATGGCCACCCCTCTTACCTGAAGAAAATGAGAGGAGTTAAAAGAGAAGTTGTCGAGGGTGAGGATGAGCTTGGCCAAGCAGAGGAGGGTGTGGTGGGTGGGGATGGTTCAGGCCTTTGCTCCAGGAAGAAGTGGAGAGCCCTGAGACTATCCTGGTGGGAGATGAACACGTATAGGGATTGCCCACCCATGGTAAAGGGGAGGCGACTGAAGCCTGCAAACTGGAAATTCTGAAACTGGTGTAAACCAGAGGAATCAGGGATGTACATGGGAAAGGACTGGACTAGGGGAGAAAATACTGAGTCAAGGTAGGAAAAGATCAGTTCTGTTGGGCAGGAGCAGGCTGAAACAATGGGTCTGTCCAGGCAGTCCTGTTTTGTGTTCATGTACTGATGAGATAGGAATCAGAGCTTTCTCATTTATAAGAAAGCACTAGGTAATAGCTCAAATAAACAACTGTGCTATCCAGGCTATGAATGCAAGGTACATTGTGAATACATTCTACATTGTTTATGCACAAAAAGATAAGGTGAAAATTCATGATTTACAGCGTTAATTTGTTGCTTTCTGGCAATGTACAGATGCATAATGGTGCAGTCCTTAATTACAGGACGGCAAATTGTAAACACATTTCTAATCAAAAGCATTTTTTGATTTTTTTATGAAAGAGGATCTTCAGTACTTTAATACCATGGCTCTATCAATGTACCAGGACTGAATACATTTTTGAGAATATTTTATTGTTGATTTCAACCTAAATTTTTCTAGCAAAAGTTACACTGCAGGCATGAACATTTATTGTCTTTGCTGAGTTGATGACCAATACTTTGCCTGCAGTGTAAAATTGCGACAGATATCTACCACAGATAAGTTCCCTACATTTTAGTTCAAAATAAAGAAATGTTAATATCACCCCAAAATCTAAAATGAACCAAATTCACAAATTCTAGCATTATGAAAAATCAAAATTTGATTTGACAAAAGAAAAGCAGTTGGGAACAAATTGGTGAAACACAAAATAAACTAGAATACTAGTGAAAATGCTGCTTTGCAGTAACATTTGAGATTTTCTTATACTTCTTTCACTGTAAGTAAACGTGTTGTTCGTTTGTTAGAATATCACCCTAAAATCACTGCAGTAAAAGGAGGTTGTAAAGATCAATGATTATAAGTATGTGGTGTATGGTACAGGCCGGAGAAAGTTATTTCTTGACATGTGTATGGTTGCCCTGTCCCTCTACCAGAGGATAATTAATTAGCCTATTTTTTCTCAATCTAAGTCTTATCATCATAACTGATAAGAATCCCCAGACAGGTGAGAGATTGTACTTTGAAAACTGCTCATTCTGCCAAAGGAATCACAAAATTCCGATGTAAAAATATCCTAAGTTTATAAAATAGGATTTTTACAATTGAAAATAAGTCATAATATTCTTACCTCTTTATGTTGTTTCCCTAATATGTGTGTCTGCCAAAGTAGTTCACTTTTTATTGGAGTGCTGCAAAGCACACAACTGAGATGACCTAAACTGTTGTATGTTCAGCTGGATTAAGGTAAACAAAGTTATAATGCAAAAGATAAAAGCAAAATACTGCAGATGCTGGAAGTTTGAAAAAAACACAAAGTGCCGGAAAACTCAGTAGGTCTTGCAGCAGCTGTGGGGAGAGAAACAGAGTTAACATTTCGAGTCCAATATTACTCTTCTTGTTTCTCTCTCCATAGACGCAGCCAGTTGGCTGAGTTTCCAGAAAACAAAATAAATGTTTACAGGAAAAACAACTTGAACTTTACACAGACAATTTATTATGAAACCATTCAAACTATAAATGCAATCAAGTTGAAAGGTTAACTGATGGCGGTGGTGGTGGTAGCAAGGACGTGGCTCCTCCCAGCCTTCGGGGCCAGCGGCGGCAACAGCAGCAGCAGCAAAGCTTACCTAGCGATCGAGGCAGGACAACAGCAGTAAGAACATGGCTCCTCCCAGCAACTGATGCAAGGCTCACAGACTGACCTGAGACTCTAGGCCGTGGCTAGGCCATGTACCTGCATCAGTGACTCCAAACACCTTTATGGAGATAAGACTTAAAGATCTGGATGCTTTCCTAACCTTTTGGCTTTCTTTTATTCCTGCTGTTGTATTTTGTATTTAAATTCTGGCTTTGTAACCAAGATGGTACCGGAGAATAGCTACTTTGTACACTTCTCACTGTACTCATGTATTCCTATATTTGAGTACACGTGACAATGAAATCTAATGCTAATTTAATTCTAATTCTAAAATATGCCAAAGCTTTAATTGAGGCAAAAGACATGCCATGAGTATGTAATGAGTGCTATTCAGTGAAACATGTAGCTTAAGTTTTCGTTTCCAGTATAGAAAGAATTTCACTGTCTAGTGATGCTCTAAATAAAGATAAAAATTTCAAAATTGTTACCAGTTTGTTCATTACGTTTTCATCAGCACTACATTTACAAAATAGCGTTCAATAATTTATCTGTACCACAACAAAGTCTTTGTATTTTAAAATGATATAATTATTCCATTTTACTTAAGAATCAGAAATTGTAAAATTAGAATGCATCTTCAGTAGTAACAACATGACAGGAATGGGTTTTTGGATTATCTGATAACTCACTTTGCTAAAAGATAATAGCCAAGATTTTATTATTATGAATACAGAAATTGGCCAGGAACTTATAGTGAGGAAGTTTTTCATTGTTGGCCCCATAATACACAAGCATATATCTCATGGCTTCACAATGCGAATTATTTTAGGAAACAGCACTTTTAACACATGAAAGTTTCAATTTTTTTCTGACATTTCCTCAACATCTTTTGAATTCACTGAATCTAATATTTTTTCGACAATTAATATTATGGATGCAGACTATGAACTCTACAATTCACTCAGACTGATAACCAAAACAAAAATACGGTACGCCCTGATCAGAGCACCTCTGTGGTAACGACACTGTAGCATTTGCTCCAATGGAGACTGTAAGAAAGACTCAGGGGTTGTCTCTCTTATGCTTGTAACTCGTTCTACTTGACTATCAGTGTCAAGAAAACTTGTTATGGACAGGGTGTTGTAACTCAATCCTTGGCCACTCTAAACAAGAATCCACTGCAAGTAACTAGCAAATTCTGCTACATTAAGTCCATGGTGATAGACTTAATATATGCATAGTTAAAGGAACCAGAACCTTTTACAGTTTTCAAGAATGGGAGCTCAGCAACTTTCATCTTTGCTATTTACACAAAGGGCCTCAAACACTGATTTTCACACAGAGGAAAACGGAAAAATCACCAAAATCACCACGATAATCAGTGGCAGCAGATGCCAACTTTCCCACAATAATACTTGAAACCACTTAATCTGCAGCACTTTAGCAGAATCTGCATCTCATCTTTAAAAAAATCATCCAAAGGGCATCATTGTAGCTATCCCAACCTAAATGCTTTGATTTACTGTATATTCATTACCTCTTTTAGATGGAAGAATGCCGATGATGTACGTGGTGCTTTCACCTTGATAAAGGGGGGAGGAAAATTCCCATGTGATTACCAAACTGCTCACTGTGTTCGCCTGTCCATTTGTTTGCAGTACCTCTTTGGTGTGCCCTGTTCCTATATTTGACTCCAAGCTGTCTTCTCTGTCAAAATGACAATTTATTTTTCATGTATCTGTGATCATGAAAAGATGTTGAGATACAGCAAGAAAATAATCAGCCAGGAGGCTTGGAGATAAACGGTAGCTCAATGTGCACAGTAGCAGAAGCAAGGGGGAGAAAACTACAGATGACAGGGAAACGGTCAGTAGGAAGTAATTTTAAGAGGTTCCTATAACTTGTAAAAGCCAGCTTAGTAGTAGACACAGAAATAGTTGCATAGCTGGGGAGCAAGTTGCCAGTCCAAAAAAAAACCTAAGCCTCAATAATCATTTTGAAGTACAATTTAATTTATAACATAAAAGTTAAAACCTAATCCATAAAGAAAGAAAATGTAAAGCCCACTGAAGCAGATTTCACAAGACCAAAGATCAGAAGGTGTAAAAGGAAGAGTAGATCATTCAGTCCTTTGAGTCTATTCTGTCATTCAGTGAAATCAAGGCTGATCTGATAATCCTTAACACCACATTTTTGCCTCTTCTCCATTAATCCTTGAATCCCTTACTGATAAAAAGTCTGTCAACCTCAGCTTTGTATGTCCTTAACCCAGCCTCTTTACCCATCTGCCATAAAAAAAAAATCACAGATTCACTGTCCTCAGGGAAAAAATTTCTTCTCATCTGTTTTAAATGGGCAACTTCCCACCTCTGAAATTATGCCCTCTGGTCTTAGGCTCTCATACAAAGGGAAACAACTTTCCAGCATCTACTCTGTCAAGCCCCATAAGAACCTAAAATGTTTCAATTAGGTTTTCTCTTATTCCTGCAAACTCCAATGAGTACAGGCCTAACCAACTCAATCTCTCCTATAAGAAAATCTCTCCATACCCAAGGTCGAGCTAGTGAAACCTCTGTGGATTGACACCAATGCCAACTTTCCTTAAATGAAGGGGCCAACTATTCACAGTATTCTAGATGTGGTATAATTAGTGCATCGTGTAGCTTTTGTAAGACCTTCCTATTTTTGTACGATTCCCTTGAAATAAAGGCCAACAGTCCATATGCCTTCCCTTTTATCCGCTGAACATAGATGCTAGCTTTTTTGTGATTTATGCATGAGGACCCCTAAATCACTTTGCTGCAGATTCCTGCAGTCTTTCCTCTTTAACTAATATTTACCTCAGCTATTCTCCCTGCCACAGTGCATAACCTCACATTTTGCTACATCTGCCAAGTCTTTACCCAATCAAGTCACCTATTTTTATCCCTCTGCAGACACTTTGTTTCATCCTCACGATGCTTTCCCACTTATTTCTGTGTTCCCCAAAAGTGACCAAAATACAATCATTTCCCTCATCCAAGTGATTAATCTATATTATAAATAATTATGGCCTCAGCACTTATCCCTGTGGTACTCCATTAATTACAACCATCCTGAATATGCCTCCTCACCCCAACTCTCTGTCTTCCAGTAGTTAGCCAATCCTCTATTCATGCAACTATGCCACCCCTAATATCGTGGCTCTTATCTTATTAAGACTTAATGTGCAGAACCTTTTGAAAATCCAAATACATTACATCTATCGATTTCCCTTATCTATTCTCCTCAAAGGACTTTAATAAACTTATCAAGCATGATTTCCCCTTCATGGAATCATGCTGACTCTGATTATATTAAACATTTATAAACGCACTGATTACATCTTTATAATAGACTATAACATTTTTCCAATGACAGAAATCAAGCTCATTGGCCTAGTTACTATCCTCTGTCTCTGTCAGTTTTTGAATAAGGGTGTTATGTTAATAATTTTCTAATAATCTGGGGCATTTATGGAATCTAAGGACTGGAAGATTATTACCATTCATCCACTATCTGTAGCTACTTCTTTTAAAATCCTAGGACACAATGAATCAGGTCCATTGATACATCAGTCTTTAGCCCCATTCTACTCCTAGATATTTTTCTATTGTATTTAGTCCCTCTCCCACTCCTCCACATCCTTTGATTATATCTGAGTATTAGTATTTCTCTATTCTGGAATGCAATTAGTTTCTTCTTGGTGCAAAGTATTCATTTTACTCCTTTGTCATTTGTCCCTCAATTATCTTTCTGAAAACTCCTTTCCCAGTCCACACCAGTTAACTCTGCCGTTTTTAATTCACCTTATTTAAGTTTAGCATGTCCGTTACTAATAAAGAAACAACACCACCTTTTACTCTTGCCAGCCTTTCAAAATGTCACATACCCTGTATATTTAATTCCCAGATTTGATCTTCTAAGCTAGTACCAGTGCCACATTAACTGAAAGCCATTCCACCCAGAACAATCTTTAATCATTGCATTTAAGTCGACGTAGTTATCCCATAACAATACTATTGCCACTTACTCAGGAAATTGCTATGAAACTATTTAATGATTGGGAAAGATTTTCCAATTACAAATGTTTGATTATTATGGAAAATCTCAATTAAGGTCTTCAAAAGATATGACTCAGAACTGTGACTCAAGTGAAGCTTGGAAATCAAGCCCACAAGTTTCAATACAAAATAAACCACAGAGATATATAAAAACAACTATACTGTAATTATTAGAAGAGCACAAATGGAATCTGAAAGGAATGTAACTATCAAGCAGCTGAGGAGCGATTGCTGATGCCTGGGAATGTTTGAGGTAAACTAACCAAGGATCCTTTTATTTTCACTAACATCATTTTCAAGGAAAACGCTTCTGTTCCCCTCCACCGTGTCTCCCGCATTTCCCGCAACTCATCCCTCACACCCCGTCCCCGCAATAACAACCAAAAAAGAATCCCCCTCGTCCTCACGTACCACCCCACCAACCTCCGGATCCAACGCATCATCCTCCGACACTTCTGCCATCTGCAATCCGACCCCACCACCAAAGACATTTTCCCTCCCCACCCTTATCTGCTTTCCGGAGGGACCACTCTCTCCGTGACTCCCTTGTCCGCTCCACACTCCCCTCCAACCCCACCACACCCGGCACTTTTCCCTGCAACCGCAGGAAGTGCTACACCTGCCCCCACACCTTCTCCCTCACCCCCATCCCAGGCCCCAAGAAGACTTTCCACATCAAGCAGATGTTCACCTGCACATCTGCTAATGTGGTATACTGTATCCGCTGTTCCCGTTGTGGCCTCCCCTACATCGGGGAAACCAAGCGGAGGCTCGGGGACCGCTTTGCAGAACACCTACGCTCGGTTCGCAATAAACAACTGCACCTCCCAGTCGCGAACCATTTCAACTCCCCCTACCATTCCTCAGACGACATGTCCATCCTGGGCCTCCTGCAGTGCCACAACGATGCCACCCGAAGGTTGCAGATACAGCAACTCATATTCCGATTGGGAACCCTGCAGCCCAATGGTATCAACGTGGATTTCCCAAGCTTCAAAATCTCCCCTCCCCTTACCGCATCCCAAAACCAGCCTAGCTCGTCCCCGCCTCCCTAACCTGTGCTTCCTCCCAAACCTGTGCTTCCTCCCACCTATCCCCATCTCCTACCTACTAACCTCATCCCGCCCCCTTGACCTGTCCGTCCTCCCAGGACTGACCTATCTCCTCCCTAACTCCCCACCTACACTCACCTTTACTGGCTCCATCCCCGCCTCTTTGAACTGTTTCCTCTCCACCTATCTTCTCCTCTATCCATCTTCTATCCACCTCCCCCTCTCTCCCTATTTATTTCAGAACCCCCTTCCCCTCCCCCATTTCTGATGAAGGGTCTAGGCCGGAAACGTCAGCCTTCCTGCTCCTATGATGCTGCTTGGCCTGCTGTGTTCATCCAACTCCACACCTTGTTACCTCAGATTCTCCAGCATCTGCAGTTCCGGCTATTTCCGTTCCACGAATTAGCCAGGTTCATGCTTAGACTCCTTGCCTCTCCCTTCAATTTAGCCTGGCAACCCCTCTTATGCAAAGCGCTTCATGGGTAGGATGAGGTGCACTGTAAATGCAAACTGTTGACTGGCGTGTGTGGTTAGTGTCACTTCAGATGTGTAAGTATTAAAAATCTCGATCACAGAATGGACCAAGACGCCCCCAGCCCTGACAAATCCTCCTGATTTTGAGTTAAACCGTTTCCTGGTCTGACAGAAGAGATCTAACTCCCATTTCCTCCGAACCCTCCAAAAGGATATTTAGCGAGTGGAGAGTCGATCCTCTTGCCGGCCGCGCTCGCCCGCTGCTTTTCCCTCATTAACCGTCGCAGCTCCTGCTGGTCAACAACTTTCTTCTTCCCTTTACCAGGTGCCGCCATCTTGACATAGACAGGACCGTTTCCGGTGTGAACCCGGAACTGCTTCCCAGGCAGTGGCTGGGTTGTAGACCTGACGCATGCTGAGTAAGGTAATAGTTATTATAATTACTGTACAGGTGGGTTGAGGATTAGACATTAATTTAATTCGTAACAATGGTGCTCGGGTTCCTGAAATGAAATGTCTCCTGGCGAGATATATTCCCGGTTTCCGGAAGGGTCACTTTCCCGACGTATTTCTTTTAGCGTTTCCAGCTCATCGCCCTGTTTTGTAACACCGTCATTCCCACAAAGTGTGTGGATGTAGCTTCCTGCTTCAACCTGCCATCTGGGAACCAACCAGACGTTGTCCGCACGGGAAAAGTACCTCTAGGTAGCAGCAATTGGAATGTGATTGCAATTTACATCGAGTTTGAGAAGGAGAAAGGTATGTCTAAGAAACACAGAATATAGGAACCTCCTGTTCAAGTCCCACCTGCTGTAATAATAGCTCTGGACAGATTGATTAAAATATAGATAACAAGGTGTAGAACTGGATGAACACAGCAGGCCAGGCAGCATCAGAGGAGCAGGAAAGCTGACGTTTCGGGTCTGGATCCTTCTTCAGAAGAAGGGTAAGCCTTCCTGCTCCTCTGATGCTGCTTGGCCTGCTGTGTTCATCCAGCTCTACACCTTGTTATCTCAGACTCCAGCATCGGCAGTTCCTGCTATCTTTGATTAAAATATATCTGTAGGAACAGGTGTAGGCTACTTGGCCCTTCGAACCTGCTCTGCCATTGGTTGATCATCCAACCCATTACCCTGTTTTCTTCCCATATCCTTTGATCCCTTCAGTCTCAAGAGCTGTATAGCCAATTTTCTTGAAAGTACTCAATGTTTTGGCTGAATAGTTTCCTGTGGCAGAGAATTCTACAGACTCACCACTCTGAGTGAAGAAATTCCTTCTTATCTCTGTCCCACATGGCCCACGCCATGCCCTTAGTTTGTGGCTCTGGTTCTGAATTTCCTGGTCATCAAGAACATCCATTGTGCATCTACCCTGTATTATCCTGTTAGAATTTTAAAGGTTTCTTTGAGACTTCTTCCCCCACCCACACACACACAACACCCCGTTCTTCTCAACTCTAGTGGATATAGTCCTAATCCAGTGTTTTTGCCTGTCAGTCCTGCCAGCACAGGAATCATTCTGGCAGACTGCGTCAATGGCTAGAACATTCTTCCTCGGATAAGGAGATTAAAACTGCGCACTGTACTCCAGATGTGGTCTTACCAATGCCCTGGATAGTTGCAGCATGAGTTCCCCGCTCCTGTATTTGAATATTCTCATTATGAAGGTCAATGTGTAATTTGCCTTCTTCACTCCCTGCTGCACCTGCATGTTTACCTTCATCAGTTGTTGTACATCGCATGTTGTACATCTTTGCCAATCCATTGCCATCTAGATAATGATCTGTGTGCCTGTTCTTGCTACCAGATTGGCTAACCTCACATTTATCTATATTACATTGCAGCTACCGAGTATTTGCTCACTTACTTGTCTAAATCACACTGAAATTTCTCTGCCATCCTCCTTACAGCGGACCCACCCCCACCACCCATTCAGTTTTATATCATTTGCAAACTTGTGATATGACATGTAGTTTTCTCATCTAAATCATTCATTTCTATTGTGAATAGCTGGGTTCCAAAGACTGATCCCTGCAGTACCCCACTAAGCACTTGGAAAAAGACCCATTTATTCCAACTCCAGAACAAAAACAGAAGTTGCTGGAAAAGTTCAGCAGGTCCGGCAGCATCTGTGAAGAGAAAATCAGAGTTAACTTTTCAGGTCAGGTAACCTCTGAGGAACGGTCACTGGACCCGAAACATTAACTCAGACCTTGTCTTCACAGATGCTGCCAGACCTGCTGAGCTTTAGCAGCAACTTCTGTTTTTGTTCCTGGGTTACAGCATCCACAGTTCTTTTGGTTTTTATTTCGTTTATCTCAACTGTTTGTTTCCTGTCTGCCAACCAGTTCTCAATAATTTCAGTACATGACTTTCATTCCCATATGTTTTAATTTTACATTAATCTCTTAAGCAAGACCTTGTCAAAAGCCTTCTTAAAGTCCAAGGAAACCGGATCCAGTGGCCTCGTTATCCATTCGATTAGTTATAACCTCAAAAAAGTTCCAGCAGATTGGTCACGCAAATAAATCCATGCTGACTCTGTCTGACCTTGTGACTATTTTCCAAATGCTCTGCTGTTACATCTTTTATATTGGACTCTATTATTTTCCCCCAATACGATTGTCAAGCTAACCAGTCTCTAATTTGCTGTTTTCTCTCTGCTCCCCTTCTTAAATAGTGGAGTTATATCAGCTAATGTCCACTCTACAGGAACTGTTCTAGAGTCTATAGAATTTTGAAATATGACCATTAGTGCATCTGCTGTTTCTAGGGTCACTTTCTTAAGTACTATGGGATGAAGCTTATCAGGCTCTTGGAATTTATTTGCCTTTTAATCTCATTAGTTTCCTCAAAACCAGTTTCTTACTAATATTAATTTCTTTCAATTCCTCTTCCCATTAGGCCCTGTGTTCCTCCATATTGTTAAGGAATTATTTGTGTCTTCCTTTGTGAGGATAGAACTAAGATGTGTATTTAATTGGTCTTCCATATCTTTGTTCCCTGTTATAAATTCTGACTGTAGGAATATTCTTTACGAATACTTTTTCTCATCACATATCAATTGAAGTTTTTACCATTGGTCTGTATGTTCCTGTCAATCCTTCTCTCATACTCTATTTTCCTCTCTTAATTGTCTGTCTGTTTCTTTCCTTTTGGTGGAATCTAAACTGTCGCCAATTCTCAGGTCTGTTGCTTTTTATGGCCAACTTGTATGCCTCATCTTTGGATTTAACACTATTCTTAATTTCCCTTGCAAGCTGTGGTCTGACCACATTTCCCATTTTATTTTTATGCCTGACTGGGATGAATAACTTCTGAAGTTCATCCATGTACTGTCCAAGACTAGTATTCTAAGTGAAATTAGGCAACTATGTGGACATGAAAACTGAACTAGCTGTAGATAAATTAGGAAATCTAACAGAAGGATGCTGTTGATATGTCAAAAGTTCTGGACTGGTAACTCCAGATTTATTGAACTTGTGTCAACTTGTCATGTGACCACACCAATCAATCAGATTGGAGTAAGGCCACACTGCAGCCCAAGATTGCAGGCAAGCTAACACTTGACATCAACATCTTTCTGTGAAGCCCTGTAAGTATCGCTGAAATGACAGATAATCCTGAAGAGACTAATGAATGCCTGAGTTTCCCTAACTAAAGCCACGCAGCCATGGAGATGGCCTGGGTTTTGTGCTGGAACACGGAAACACTGAAAAATGTTTGACTGCATTGACATCATGGCATTCTGTATTACATTTGCTCAAAGACATCATGTTAAGCAGAAAAAGTTTATTGAGATTTTCCAGAGATAACCCCAACATTTTCAATACTTTTTACTGTACATGCTCAGGCCATTGTAAAGTGTGAATAAATTGAAAATAAAAGGAAATGCATTTTTCACATAGGTGTCTTTATTTGCTTGTTTTTGCATGAAATATGTCTAGGCAAAATTGGGTTGTGCTGGAGCTTCTTTGGCTACCTCAAAACTCAGCTTGATGCACATTTGTGAGTGGTCTCCTGCAATTCGACATCACAATTTTATTGTACTATATTCATCAATGTACAGTTTAGTAATGTACAGTAAGTAGCACTTCAAATCAGCCTAAAAGTAGGTATGATTATACAAACAAATATGTTACACAAAAATCAGATTTGTAAAAGCAGTACTGAGATGCAATGGAAAGTTCGAAAATGCAAAACAATTTCTTGGGCCATGCATACAGGTACATCTTAATCTGCAAAGTAACAACTTCAAGGTTTGATCTGGTGAAGCTAGCTATCTTGATACATTTTTAATCTCCCTCAATAGGGTTAGAGGTCAAAAATAGAAATTCAGTATTGGACAATGCCTCATCTGGCCATTGCCAACACTGATATACACATAAACATTTTTCAATGGAACTTGGAGGGAGTACTGCTAGTTGAGCAGATTTGCTTCACAGTAAACTTATCTGCTGATGTGTAATTCCTGCTAATGGATCATGACTGAGTTCAGCATTTATGTGGATTATGCAACAGTTAATCTCAACACAGCAATATATACACAGTCACAGCATGCATATTTCAAAAATAATTCCATCCAGAAAAATGCTTTCTTCCAAAAAAAAATCCTTTAGTACAGAATACTAAAGATCATACATGAGGAAGCTATCGATCTGAGCATGGTGGAAACAGAACAACAATTTTGGTATAAACCCTGCATTTTCCACAGCAGGTAAAAGCCCCTGTCCACATACTGATACAATTTTTCTTATTGCGTACATATATTTTGCAATGACACTAGCATATTTTGTAATTCATAATGGGATATGAGTGTCTCTGGTTAGGCAAGCATTTTTCGCCCTTCAGTAGTTGTCCAAATTGCAATTAAGAATCAACCTTATGCTGTGGGTCGAGAGTCACAAGTGTGTTGGACCACAACTGTTCAAATTATTTTTTAAAACTGCAATGTGGGAATTAGGAAGTAATGTCATGCTAAGCTCATGTGACAGCATAAGGCCTCTGTGGCACAAAAGCCTGAGTTCAAGTCTAACCTGTTCCAGAAATATGTAATAACATCTCTGAAACAACCAGGTGGTTTAATATAGGGGAAGTAATGTAATGCTGTTGGACTCCAGACTAAAGGGTTCTTGCAGCACAGTGTAGTGTCCGTACCTCTGGGGCAGAAGTTTTAGGTTCAAGTCCCACCTGTTCCAGATATTTGTTATAACATGCCTAAACAGGTTGATTTATAAAAAGCTCGAAGTGTCTGCATTATATCTACATCACAAGCTCTTTTCTTAGCAACTTGGAAATGTCGCAGCAGCTTTCTATTCAACCCTTTGAAAGAAAAGTAGCTATAGATCCAAAATGGCTCCAAAGCCTGAATTTCAACCAAATAAGTAACTTATATACTCAGCAGTGC